TGGTGTGGTCCAATCAGCGTAGCGAGCACGGGCTGTCACCTGCTTGATTCCAGTCTCGCAGTTTCACTTCACACAGTGCTGTTGGCAGCTTTGACTGAGCACCCAGCGCTGAGAACCTTCCATGGCCTTGCTGTGAGTACCTTTTGGGCAAGAACTTGAATTGCTTTGAAGCAGGGTGCTCTTTGAGAAGCGTCACTTCTGGGCTCGCTTTGTAAGCTTTCTCACATTCAAGTTCAAGTCAGCATCACTGACAGCTGAAGATGCAGAGTTGTTGCTTTCTTTATCTGTCCATCTCACAGACATCTAAAGAGCAAGTGGCATTGTCTTTGGCATTATTAGAAGGCCTTTCCTCATCTGGAAGTTCTTTGAACATCATTTGATTCCATTTAAATTTCTCTCCTTTGGGTAGACACAGCCCCCTTTGGAGAAACTGGTGTTCCTCAACTTAGAACCAAATTATGAGTCTGTCAAGGACACATGACCTTTCTCTACATAAGTCCCACCTCAGGATATGTTGAATTTGGGTTAGTTGTAAGACATTGAACAGGCTGCCCCAAGGAGACAGAGTGATTCTTCACCACTCAACCTACCCTAGCTCACACTGTCCATTTCTCATCTGTTGGAGAAACATATTTCCTGAGAATAGAGGCTGGACCGGGAATAAAGAGACTATGTGGATCACGATGAGGAAAGGCCTGTTCTCTCCAACTGTTGCTCATCAAGGCTTGAAACTTGAGTTGGCTATGTGTAAAGTAGAAGTTGAAGTGCTATAGACTGGATAGCTTAGGAATTCATTTCTTTCTCTATTGAAAGCTAAGATGTTCAAGAGCAGTTTGTTGGTTTCCTTGTGAAAGCTGTCTTCCTAGCTTGCAGATCACTGCCTACATCTGTTCTCTCATTGAGCGCAGCATATAGAGATGTCTAAAGACACTACATTTTTGGATGAAACTCCCACCTTTACCACGACAGTTAACATCTTTATAGGAGTTATGTCCAAATACTGCCATATTAAGGATTAGGCTTCAGTATATGAATTTGAAGAGGAAATTGAGAAAGGCTAATAACCTTTCCAAGTTGTATAAATATTGATTAGATATGTTACCTAGTGATTGATGAAATCTTTATCAATTGATGGGATGGATAAATTTGCAAGTTTTGTTTGGTGTTCATTTGGAAGGATGAGAGAAGGGACTTGAACAGAGCAGAAAGTTCCTCTGTGGTCCCTCAGAAGATGCTTGAATCCAAAAGACTACTATTAGTTCACCCTACAGGGTCCAGCTTCTTGCCTGTGTTTGCTGGGGCCCAGCTGATTAGTATAAGATACTAACGAAGCTATACATATAGTTTCACCTTGTGTGGATAGCTAACTGTTGTGTAACCATAGCTTGCATCTACTGTGTTATTCTCACACTTGGACAGTTCAAAGTAACCCCATGCACAAGCAAACACAGAGGACACAGCTGAGGAATTTTATATCCCATCTCTGAATTACCACGAAGAAACACGCAAAACCCTGACAACATGCTGAACCTGAGGGTCTACATTTTCCGTGCAAAGTCCTAATTCTAGCAATTGAAAGATCTGGGCTCATTTCAGTCTCAAGGCTTTTTAAGTTGTGTAGCATATGTTTCTTGGGGAAAAAAAAATCTAATTTCAAAAAGATAAATATTTTTCAAAGATAAATATATTACCTGTAAAATTGCTTGGCATTTTAATAGACTTGTTTCTAGACTTTCTTGGCAGATGGATGTGTGTTAAATTGAGAACTTTACAAAAAAAATAAATGTCTTTCCCCATACTGACACATAATATTTATGAAAATAACCTGGAGGATATATGTAATACTCCACCCAGAAAATTTGCACACATGTACACAGTAGATGCCTGTATTCCCAGTGGATTCAATTTGGGGAAAGTGTTCTTCTATAGCCAGTATACACACTAGGTAACAGAAATAGGTATTTGTTTGTATCTCATTATTTTAAGACAATATTCTACCAAGATTGGCTTACTTTAAAAAATCTGCACAATCTGCATGTGTGTTCTCCCTTGGATGGAAGACCTCTTAGACTTTAATATAAATATTACATAATTCACACTTGGGCTTTCCTTTTTTCTTTTCCTTCAGCAAAAGTTCCATGGTGAGACAAATACTAATGCCAATAGCCACATCTCTGAATCTGTCTTCCATCACTATTTCCCCCACAGAGTACTTCTGGTACACGGCCTGGGCTGACTTGGTTCAGGGCTCGTTCACACCTGTTACATTCTATTGGCAGTTTTATGCCTTCAACCTCAGAGATATTTCCTAAGTACATTTTCTAATTATAATTGATTTCAATGTTAGACTCTCCTTAAAAAAAAAAATATATATATTGGTTTGAGATACACTTCATGGTTGTGAAGAAAATCTGTCCTGTGATTCTCTGCTAGCACCTTAGCATCTTGTGTTCTGATGAAAGTCTTTGCATTTTCTGGCTTTCAAAAGCATCATCCCAGTTCTGCTATCCCTTTCATCCTCACATAGCCCCCCTCTCAGCTGTACATTGTTCTTACTCTGCTTCTGCCTCTATAATACAGTACCACCAGCCACTGATTATGACAGAATTGAGGTCACTCATGAAAATTGTTTAGGAACTAGAAAATGAAAACAACTTAGGGCAGTCCAGGTCTAAAGGAATCAATTGTTATTGGGTACTGACCATAGCATACAATACACTGAACCACTGAGCTAAACACTTTAAAAAAAAAATATTAAATATAACCCTAGTCCTATGGGGCAGAAATTAAACTTGTAAGTGTGAAGAATCAGAATGTTTATTGAGTATGAGCCATATGTTGGTTTCTGAGCAAGAAACAGTATATAAGTAGTGTTATTTAATCTTCCCAACACTGCCTTATGAGGTAATGATTCTCTAAAACTTTTTAACATGTGGCATGTAAAATCAGCGGGGTTCTGCCACAGTATTTTACGCCTCTTAAACCTATGCTCCCTGTTCAACTCAACTTGCAGCCTGGCATTTGTGCTCAACTAATCTTGATATTAAGATGTGAAGAGAGAATAGATTAATTTATGTCTTAAGGAAATTGAAAGCTAAACAACTTTGGATATGAAAACACCTTGAAAAGCCAGGTGTGGCAGCACAAGCTTTCAACTCCAGCACTTGAGGAAGGAGGACGGAGAGTATTCGTAGCCAGCCATCCTGGCCTTCTTAGGGAGTTTCAGGGGAGTGAAAGACCCTGCCTCAAAATTAAAAGATGGACAGTACCTTAGGAACAACATCTGAGGTTGAGTTCTGATCTGTGCGCGTGCGCGCACACACACACACACACACACACACACACACCACCTTGAGCATTTAAACCACCATGTACTTTATTGTCTCTCATATATGTAAAGCTATATCTACCTATGTATTAAAAGATACTTTTCTGATGAATTTTTACCTCAGTCCCTTTAACTCCCATACTGGAATTTAGAAAAATGTGTTCTCTAGTCTTTGGTATCACTGTAGTTTGAATCTGCAGCAGCATCGAAGTACTTCTGCTCATTTCTCACTCTAAAATGGCCTCCTCCCGGCAGAACAAACTGGATTCTGCAGATAAATGTTAAATCCCTACGTGCAACCACATGCGCAGCCAATTCCCTTCATGCGTGTTAAAGGCTCCCTACCTACCTTCAGACTTGGAATGGTATGGAATGAACCTCACTGTAAACAGACTTCCCAATCATTTTTTTCCCTCAAAATGGCTTGGCAAAGTATTCCTCCCATCAATCTCCAGCTTTGTAAATGAAAGAAAGTGACTCAGAGTTATACACACTTCTTACTAGGAATTCCACAGGATATAGTATGTTTTCCTCCACTGATGATTTTATTCTCTATTACTTAGTTTTAGGGGGTGTGGGGGCTTTTCAGATTTCCTTACAGGTTTTAACCCTTAAGGTAACAAACTCTTTCTCTAAGAAAATAACTCACCCAACAGGTGGCACCTGGCATTTTTCTAGCGAACAGTAGAGTGTCTCTTTCCATATTAAAAGATGAGGATGAAAATGCAAATATCCCGAAGAGAAATAACATTTATAAAATTACAACATGCTGCCCTGCAAATGATTGATAGGAGAGCCACTCCGAAGAGGAGGCTGAAATGTCAAGCAGGAGAGAACATGTTTCCAGGCGACGAGTGAAAAGCAGGAGCCAGTGGTGGTACTCAGACTGCTTTGATTTTTCACATTTTAAGTCTGGCCTTCCAGGGAATTATTTACTATAAAAGTCACATTTCATGCCAAGGGGAAGCTCTAAAGTCCGTGTGAAAATCTTGTGTAGTTGAAAAACAATGCTGCTGAGAATTCCCATGAAAACCCACCAAAGGGCAGCCCTTTACCATTTCCTCAGAAGTCTAACATTTCTAGTTCTCTCTCTGGCTTGAACAGATAAACAGATTGCTGCTTCTTCAGTGGAGTCCTCAGTTGTCTGCTTGTCTGTAGGGCCTGTCTGCATCACTTTATGCATGCCCAGAGGCATGCTCTGCATAGCCAGCTCCTGCCAGCTATGAGATGCAACAAATTGAATCTCATACCCATTTAGTACAATAGATGCATTTTCCTTTCTTATGCCCGGGCAGGAACATGCAAATATGTGGGGATGGAACTGGACAGGAGAGAATTTTTACACAGAATTTCAGTCCTTTTTTTCTCACTCATTCATCTATTTATTTATTTACTAAATAAAGACAGTTGGATTTGCACACATTATGTCATATTATTCAAATCTTCTGCCTAGTTAACAATGCACAATTCTTAGAAAACAGAAGGTGGTAGGAAACCACTGAAGAGTAGTGGACATCTTTGATGTGAGATCACAGTAGTGAGAGTAGGGCGTCAGTGGGGCTTTTACTAGTTGAAGTGCCAGGTGGGTGTTTTTAAGTCCATTTTGATGCTAATCTTTCTCCCTCTCTCCTCTTGCTCTCTTTTCCTCTTTCCCCCACACCCTCCTCTCTAGGCTGGTCCATTCAGGTCCAGGGAAAGGCTCACCCCAGGCTGCTATGGATCTGTCCTTTGCCACACGAACTGGTACCAAGCAAGGAATTGAAACACATCTCTTCAGGGCTGAGATCAACAGGGACCTCTCCCACTGGACAAGGAGCATCGTGCAGGGGTGCCACAATTCAGCTGAGCTCATTGTGGAAATCACCACTGGTGAGTGCTCCTGCCTATGAGCTACCGGTGTCCACAGTCACTCAAATACAAGAAAGGTGAATCCGCTACTGTACTGGCCTCAAAACTGTTTCTATTACTGGCCTTTTGGGGTATGTAACATTCTAGAGTTAAACCTAAATGCTTCTCAGTTAGGCATTGTTTGACCTTCTAAAATGTAACTAGAGGCTTTTGTTGCATACAAGCTTGTCTTATCTTCATTAAAGAGAAGCTGCTAATTAGGATGATCATTTTCCACCCTCCTCCTCATAACCCCATGGATGGCTTCCCAAAGGAAGGGAATTTGGGGGATATGAACTGGTTAGGCTATTGGTTATAAACAACAGAAACTGAATCTAAGTGACTTATCACAGAACAGTATCGGTGGTAAAATGAGCTCCAAACTGGGGGCTCAGTCCGTGAGAAACGACAGGAAAGAAAGGCATCTGAGTAGAGGGAAGCAGAGCAGAAGGAAAGTTCTGGAAGAACCCCAGCAGAGCGCTCTCTATCCCTGGCGTGAATGAAGGGGTAGAGACAGGTTGGAAGGAGTCCTCTGTCGGAGAGTGCTCCCCAAAATGACTAAGAAGAGATGTGTGTGTGTGTGTGTGTGTGTGTGTGTGTGTGTGTGTGTGTGTGT